TACACGTAACGCTTAAAAGTTTGATATCGGTCATAGTCGGTGAATTGCAGGACGAGTGTTTGGTATCTATTCACTTTTACTTCCTCTGTCACTGTGTTGAAAAACAGTTGAGTAAAATCAGTTTTTACTTGATCAAGCATAATGTTTATACTCTTGATGGTTTTGAAATTTTTGGCTCAATTTTTGAACTAAATTTAATCGCTGAAAGAAATAGACTTGGGGGCGTTTTGTTAAGATATATTCTGTTCTGTTCTTGTTGCTAGGCTCAGTTTTGTTAAGTACCACTTCTTCTTAGGTTGTTAAGTGTTGAGTAACTTTTTAATTCATTACCTGGTAGTTTCATTTAGAAAAGTGTTCTAAAAATGCTTGCTATTTAGTTGATTGATTTCCGGGAAACTTTTAATTGCAGGTTTCTGAGATTTTAGCCAACTGTTGAAGTCGCACAGAAATAGCTTTAAATATACATTTAGCTGATTTCTGTTTTACAAATTTGCTATTACAATAATTACAACATAAAGTATTGAGAAGGAAGGAGCAAAAAATTTGCTCCTAACTGTAGTCTGTTGAATGAACAGTTGGGACTGAACTGGAAGTACTGGATTTAGATAATGTGATATGTGCAGCTACAGACACTTTTATGTTGTTTCGGTGATTTGCATTATAATTAGCAGATGTTTTTGAGTGGCAGCTAATAACGTTAGCAGTTACAGTATTATCGTTAATTTTGTTCTCTCGTCCAGTATCAGTTAATTCTGTTTGATTTTCATTACTGCTATTAATCTATTAAATACTGATTAGAAGCTGCTTTTTTTATCTTACATTACCAACTAAAAAACTTGGAACATTTATTTTTTGTTAAAGTAATTTTGTCAATTTTTTTTATTTCTCGAAACGATAAAAAATAGTTAGAAGATTTGATTATGCAGACTATACCCAGTTGAACAGTTTTGATTCATCGTCTACAGTTTATGATTTATTTGTGAAAAATATATGTTTCGTTCAGTAATTAGTTGACAGTTTTAAACCTCACTGTTATTGTTGGAGAAAAATGAGCAAATGGAAAATTTGTAAACAGTATGAAAAAATAATACTGTTCATTTGCTAAGAAAAATGTTTGTTGCATTTTTAAAGCAATAAAATAACCAGTAATAATTTTTCGCAAAATAATTTTCCTTGCAAAATTAATGGTAACGAATTAAGTCATTGTTTTTTTTTTAAACACATTTTATTCTCAGGCTATTTATCTTTTTGTCTAAAAGAAGCTTTTTTTTTTTGAGAAATTAAAACTATACTATTTGCTTAGACGTACACCAGGAAGTGTTTTGCTGTGTAAGCAGTACTTAGAAGAGTTAAAAAAGAAAACCTGTTATATAGGTGGATCGATGTGAAGATCAAGTTGCAGTTACTGGTTTCAAAAAAAAATTTCTTTTTTTTGTAACAACTACATTCTATTATCACTGTCTATAGGGCTTAACAGTTTGGATAGCTTGGTTTTAGTGATTGATCTTCTGCTCCATCAAGGTATATTGTTGATCTTAGCAAAAAA